TTTGAGCAGCGTTTCCCACGTAAGTTGAAGCCTACGAAAGCTGAGATTACCAAAGCCCGCGAATCACAAGAGAAAGAAGCCGAGAAATTGGAGTAAGGAGGGACCATATGTGAGGGTACAGACGTGGAGGAAGCGATGTGGCCAGTGCCCTTGGAACTGTAAATAGCCTCAGATCTTACGATCACTTCCACTCTTTGTAGACAATTTAGTTCTTACGCATACAGTTGACCTTGTCGCTATCGCACCCTTACATCCATCCTCTCGCGAACAAAAATCACGAAAAACGGCCTAGGAATCTTCGGGAATCCCTCAGCGGGGACACTACTCTCTTAATCTTGATGGAGCTGGGATCTTGTTGTTGTGCTAGAGACTGATGAAAAGCCGTTCGGATCGATTCCCAATCCCCTTTCGGGGCTTGCGTCTCTGTAGAGGTTTTCGTCTCTCTTGGGGTCTGCGTCTTTTGGGGGGTTGGCGTCCATTTTGGGGCTTGCGTCCATTTTAGGATATGCGTCTCTCTTGGGGTTTGCGTCTTTTGGGGGGTTTGCGTCCATTTTGAGGCTTGCGTCTCTTCCAACCACTGAGCCTCGACTTTACTTCCTTGTCTCGACCCGTTGTCTCCCCTGCATTGCATCATTTCAAATAATCGTTGACTTCTCCCCCGTGACGCAGATCTGCGAACCTCGAATTCCATTCCTTCTCTCACTAACGTCCTGTCTGTCTTTGCTTCGTAAGCCAAATGGTTTGAAACATACTCTTTTGGCATGTGACGAGGAAGCGAGCTTCTCAATCTTATACTGCTGTCAAGCTTGAACTGGATCATATTCTTTTCCAGTCGCAATCTCTCCTCTACTTCCGAGTAAAGTTTTTCTTGTAAACTTTGAATCGTGGCCTCCATCTTCTCCATTCTCTCCTTCAATATCTCAAAGGTGCTTGCCGAGTGTTTCAACGCGCCCATTATCTTCCTTTCCTGAATACTTGTCGTTTCATCACGATTCATATAGTGGGACATACGATTATAAGCATCTTGTAGACCAGTAGGGCGCCTTATGAGTAGTTGTTCTTCTGGTGAATCCACGCCTGAGGCGGGTTGTTGGGTGGGGATAGAATGGCTCTCATCTAGGTTTTCGGTTGCTGAGGAGAATGAACTGGAAATGGAAGTACGTGGAGTATTTCCGACCAAGACCTCTTTCCATCGCGACGCCTTAGATCGAGCTCGATTAATCCAGCAGGAGAAAGAACTGGTTGGAGTGGCATTTTCACGCTCTTGCTCTTTTTGTTCTTCACTCGGTAAGATTTTAGAACTTGATGTAGGGTCAGGTAGAGTTTGAAGGTTTTGGGTTGTTGAAGAGAAAAGGTTGGTTTTGTGTTTTGTGAGGAGATGGTGGTGTTGGAGAACCAGTGGTCGATGGACAGCACGATGTAACGACGACCATTTGTACATCGTAGTAGACCCTTCACAAGTCTATTGTAATGATGAAAGCCTGTTGTGAGAGCAGCGAGAATCCCGTGAAGAATCGTCTCTATTGGAATGGGCGGAACCCGTGGACAGCAGTGGGGGTAGAGTTATTCATAGGCTCCGAGTAGCTGGAAGCCTGTAATGAGCGCCTTCTTCTGGTGCGCTTCCGGTGCGCGGAACCTCGTAGTTGCCCAGGTTCCTTCGGAATAATAAGTGCAGAGGTTGCTTACGGTTGACTGCTGCCAGCGGCAAAAATATGAAAACCTGCGACGGGGCGCAGGGGCTCGATTGATCACGTGGAGTTGATGCCGGCACCCCGTTCCCCAGGTTTGTGCAGGGGTACGGATTGGCCAATACATCCTTTCCCCAATTTCAACACTCAAGACTCTTCTTGACCACTCACTTGGGATTGCAAACTCCCGATCTGTCCATTGAGCGAGTCTATCGTAATTAGCATTGTCATCTCATTCAACATCCAATCTATGCGGATCCTAGACTTGTCCGCCACCAGGGCTTTACCCATCCTTGAAGGGCGGAAAGCCCTGAAAGAAATCTGCAGAAGCTGATAGAGATTCGTAGGAGTTTATTTTGTCGATGATTAGTTGGTGGTAGTTGTTTTTCTTGTTTAGATCTTTGAACGCTTTTACTGCTTCGTTGTAAAGTTGGTGTTCTGGTGTGTTTGATGTCGTCTTTGGGTTTGTTCCTTGGGTTTGGAAGGGATGATGAGAAAGGCTGCAAAGGGGGTTTATAGGTGGGATATGAGGAGGGTTGTAGCGAGGGTGCGGAGTGAGAAGGTTGATAGATTAGTATATAGAGGCGTTGTGTTGGATGGTTTTTTCTAGTTGTTTAGCAAAGAGAAAGTGGAAATAGAATTCAGCTGGGAAACATTTGTCTATTCAAACTGTACTCCTACTTTCCCTTCTCTTGATAAATCTCCAGGTCTCCGATCGATGTCCAAATTCATTAAAACATTACCAAATATGTTGATCGGCAGATAGAAGAGCAGGTCTTTGCCCAAAATATGGATCCGGCAGAGTAAAAAGATATTTTCAAATACTGACTTTTTTGACGTGTTTTTTACAACCAAATTACGACTATTTCAGATCCCTTCATATCGTATCTGCGTCCGCTTTCGAAGCGTTCCCTTCTGTAACCCTTTCGATAACTTCAACTTCACCACCTTCCTTAGATACACCTTGAACCATAACCCCTATAACTCACAATCGCAAACATCACACATACCATCTTAAATTCCAAATTCAGCGTAGAAAATTCGAGTAGTTGACTAGTTTTGTGTTCACGCTGTCCAAATCTAACAGTCTCTACTTCAAAAACTCTCCCCTTCCAACCCTCTCACACAAATCCTTCAAAGCCCTACCAGCCCACTCAAAACTCTTCATCTCCAAATAAACCTGCGCACTCAACCTTGTCCACCACCGACCTTGCATGAAATAAACCGGAATAAACATTTTATGATCGTCGATGACCGTTTTTTGCATCCATTCAACAATCTCCACGTCGTGTTCTTCCTTCACTAGATGATAATTCTCTTCGTCGGACTTAAGGGACGGAGGTTTAGTGGTCAGGGGCAAGAGGACGTTTGTCATACAGCAATTGGTCATGGTATGTTCTTCGTTGTCGAGAATGTAGGTTCCTAGTATGTCGGCTACGAGCTGACCACCTCGATGGGCGAGGTCGATACAGTAGGTTCTGATTTCTTCTTCGCCGCCGCAGGCTTGGAGACGCCATTCTATAGAGGCTGATATTGTTAGGTAGGGGGTTGAGTCTATGGAACCTGGTTGGGAGGTGGTGTGTTAGTGTTTACTTTCGATGGTCCTAGTCCATGTATATTGATTACTCACCAACCATCTCATAAGCTCCCACAAACTCACTCCCCTCACCAGGCGGCAACGAACTCTTGCTCCCGATTCTTCCGTCTCTTGGTTTAAAACCATGACCCGTAGGTAACGTACTTCTCATCATTCCCTGGTTTTTCACGGGTACATAAAGAACCGCACATCCTCTCGGAACACCAAGCCATTTATGCACATTACTAACGAAAAAGTCCGGTTCCAAGGTTCGAAGCGAGAGAGGGATGTGCCCAATTCCATGGGCGCCATCTATTAGTGAGAGGATTCCTTCCTCCCTGCACACCCTGGTGAGGGCTTCAAATGGAACTCTCACACCTGGGAGCGAAGAGATGGTGTCAAAAAGGGCAAGGCGGGGTCTTTTGCCTAAGGAGCGGGAGGTTGAGATGGTGGATTTGAAGAGTTCGACGTAGTGGGCGTCCGAGAGGGGGTATGTTAGAGTTGTGCCGCGGGAGTTGACGAGGTGGTTAAGACTTTCGCAGATGTAGGATATTGTATTACCGCATGAACCTATTTGTCGAGACATAAGTCTCTATTCGTACTCTCTACTTATTCAATTTCAAAGAATAACGTGAAATATGCTTAAATAAACTCACCATAAATAGTATTAAAATACAAAATCTCATCTCTCCCATCTTTGTTCCACTCTAGGTTCCTAAGCACGGTATTTATCCCTGTTGTTGCGTTTGGAATGAGAGCTACTGTATCATCTGGTGCGTCGAGAAACCTGGCAGCTGCGGGACGGTTTTCATTAAGTAGTTTGGGGTAGGTGTACCGGATGAAGATGTCTGGCGATAGTTCTACTGCGTCCATATATTGACGACGAATGTCGCGAATTGGTTTGGGAAAGGCGCCGAATGATCCTAGTATTTGTATTAGTAGGTTCAGCTTTAATATCTGGTGTAGAGAGTGCGAGATGAATGGTTTTCATGAGAAGTATAGATTGTGAAATATGTGACGATGGGAAAGGGTTGAGATAAGCAGGTAGTTAAGGATTATCCGGAAATCTTTAGTTTTTTAAGCATTCTGAGATAATCTAATCTCTTCGCCCATCCATTGCTCGTGGAACGGTATCTCCCCTTGATTGTGCTCAAAGCCATGGTCGTGATTCTTACCGAGAGGTAAATAGCTGAAGGATAAAAGTGGGGATGAGTCATACCATGGTTGATATTTGTATACTCGGGGTCAAAGGAAAACTGTTTGAGCATTTCTTTTCCAAAAGGAACGCGCTCATACTTCTTTTCCTCCTGGGGAGTTTCTGGTGCCGCAGAGAGCCTGATTGGACGGTTCAATGGGGTTGGCATGATGAATGGAGAAGTTTGGCAAATGAAGTTGTTTAAAGTATGTGATGATAATGTCAATAAGAAAAGGTATTAATAAATCGATGAGTCTGAAATAGAGATGAGTCAATGCCAAATCTGAGGAAAGGATATGGCTATCAGGATGTGGTAGATGGGGAGTGATCAGTAATATATTGGTTTGTAATGGGAAGGCGGTCTTCATTGATGCGAATACGTCGTGACCTGAATATAAGGTTCAGATAAAGTTTATCTAGATACCTGTTGGATAGGAAATGGTGATAGTCAACCCAATGGCGTGGGGAATAGCAAACTACCAGTTAATTCATCATAATGATGTCTGATAGCAGCTGATGCCAAGCCATGTTAACAGCTGGGACTTGGCGAACGGCGGGGCGGAAGTGGAGAGCTCTCCCGCCTTCCCTCATTGAACACCACAGACATATATTGACCCAAGGGTACTGGTATACACAATCACCTCTCTTCGAAAACCCGCGATAACTGTGAGAATCCCCATCATGTCTCTCGCACGGCTAGCTCGTCTTCTGCCTTTCCCGGAACCGGATCTCAAACAGATTATCGACTACGCTGAGACACTATCAAAAGAGCAGGCAGCAAAGCATTTCAATGAGCTTCTTGGGGAATCGCCTCAAGCAATAGAATTTATATCGACCTTCAATTCACGGCGCAAAGATATAGCCTCATCTTCTCAGTCGAATACGCAGGCTCCCTCACAATCAGTAGAGACCTCGGGCGTCCCCAAGAGCACCCGCAAACAACCAAAGAAGAAAGCTCCCCTCCATGCTCTGCCACCCCGCCAAATCCAAGACAATTATGCCGCACAGGGCCAGGAATACAAGAAGAAGAGCGAAGATGATTATATAACGAAACGACCAGGTCAACCAGCTCCAACTGCCAAACACACATTCGCTCTCAGCAGTAAGCCAGAGGTCGCAGCGCCCAAAGCCAAAACCCCGCCATCTGCTGCGGGGACTCTAATATCAGACTTCAAGTCTAAATCTAACAATTCCTCACGAAATGCTTCACGAAACGCCTCCCGCACATCCTCTCCGGTCCCGACGCAGAAATCTACAAAAGTAAATATCACGGGAGGGACATCTATGCACGGCGCATCAACAGTACTCAGCGAACTAGATGCAGTAATTCGAAGTCTCGAAATCTCCACGAATAGCACACTCCTCCCATCGAACGACAAACGAAAATGCAATTGTATAGGGGCACGTCATCCACTGCTTGCAGCCGCGCCGAATTGTTTAAATTGTGGGAAGGTCATATGTGTCAAGGAAGGATTAGGACCATGTACATTTTGCGGGGACCCTTTATTAAGCGCCATGGAAATACAAGGAATGATACGGGAATTGAAAGAGGAAAGAGGTCGAGAGAAAATGGCATTAGATGCAGCGAGTAACAAACGTGCTGAGGTTTCAAAGAAACCTGCTCCTTTTACACAGGCTAGGAATACGGAAGTCTCGCTGAGTCCTGCGGAACAAAAGGCCAAGGAGCATAGAGATCGACTATTAGGATTTCAAGCTCAGAATGCGAAGAGAACGACGGTTCGGGATGAGGCTGCGGATTTTGAGACGCCGATGACGGCTGGTACGAATATTTGGGCGAGTCCGGCTGAGAGGGCAAAACAATTGAAGAAACAACAAAAGGTTTTGGCGGAGCAAGAATGGAATGCTCGGCCGGAATATGAGAAGAGGAGACAGGTTGTTAGTCTTGATCTTGTGAGGGGGAAAGTGGTTAAGAAAGTGTCAATGGCGCCGGTGGAACGGCCGCTACAGCCGGAAAGTGAGAGCGAGGAGGAAGTAGAGGATGCTTCGTTACGAGAAACGAGTGGAAATGCTGGTGGTGGAACATTCAGTAGAAATCCACTGCTGGGAGGACTCATCAAACCTGTGTGGAACCCGGGAAAGGGGAAAGATATTGAGATTGAGGGATCTAGTGAAGTGAGAAAGAAGACCTGGCGGAGGGTTCAGGATGACCTTGATGATAACGAGGCAGTTATTTTGGATGGGGGAGCGTATGGCCCGGGCGTCTCGGATTCGAGAGAAGAACCCGCTTGTGGATAGGTAGTAGGCCTTGAATAGTTAGTCCACAAGAATATCATGTAGAACTTGACTAGGACAAACGTGTTTTCCTGGTAAATACATGCTATAATAAACGGCAATGCTTCCATTGTTTGTACTCTTCATGTCATTTTGTTTGCTCTCTCTTGTCCTCGAGGATAAGCTAGAGTATGAGATTCATTCGCTTATGGAAGAGGTATGGATAGATAGTATGCTAACATAAAAGTGGGATGGGGTAGTAGTAATAAGAACGAGAGTCGCAGAGGCAATAATACAATAGTGAGGTTATTGTAACGAGAGCACAGCAGTAGCAGTGTGGCAGCGAGACTGTAACAGTGATTCTGGGGTGTAATAGTGATGGTGCGATAGTATAGTAAGAGAGGCGAGCATTGCTCTGTACACGCTATCAAAAGTCATTATACCAAAAGTCTAGTATATATAAATCAATTGTCCCACTTTACCTAGGTTAATTGGGAGTAAAAAATATTAATTGTTCCAAACTATTCGTATAATTGATTTAGTTGTGTGAGGTCTTTAAAACAATATTTTTACAACTCCGGTGTGTATAGAGCTATGCTCGCCTCTCTTACAACTGAAAACACTAAAGCTACCAATGGCTGATACAATGGAGGTTTTAGGATACACGAAAGCATGATTACAGCAGTAGTGTAACTTTAAAGAGAGTATTGGGCTGAAGATCTGAGATTCTTTAGGTAAGATGGACTTTTGAATCACGCTGTAATAGTATTACAAATACTGGAGCTGGTTTTAATAAGGAGATAACTATTGAAAGCAGTCACTTTCTCTTCTGTACTCGTGAATATAAAGGTAAGAGAGTCCCTTTGGTTCTAATTCCATGAAATGTCATCACTGTCTATTAAAATACATTCTTCTAAAGGCTCCAAACACCTCCTCAATATTGACTCTACAATCATTACCACTCTCGCCAAACCCCAAAATGCAACTTAAAATCACCTAGGATTACATCCACTCCCCTTTCCTCCCCTCCTCCTAACCAACAACGTAACTAACAACAACCAGAGCCTGCGACGGCTACGACTCCGCCACAGGTTGATGCACAGGCCGATGCGATAACTACGGCTCCATGTAGACGATTTATCACGGTATCAGATGGCTAAAGATATTACTTCGAAGTAGTTCATTGATTTCCACTTCTCTGGTCTATCAGAATCTTGTGCAGTCAAATCTGATGCTGAATGTAAAGAAAAGTGATCAATTCCACAGTTGATAGAGAAATAACACCACTTTAGGAGATTAAAGCTATAGCAAATTGCCAGTTACTCAAGTTTTGGAATTGAAGTAACCTTAGACTATCTAACTCAGACAAAATTCCATTTCTTTCTACTAGTAGCCCTCACACCAGATCGCTGCCTGATTCCTTCTACGGATTTCCTCGCTTGTCTCAATATCTCTGCTTCGTCTTGTTTAACCAAATAGCCCTTATTCACAAGGATCTTGCCGTTGACCACAACTACTTTTACATCTGCCCCAATGCAGCTGTATACCACTGTAGTTACTGGGCTGACACCCCCTTTCATTATCTGGTCATTATCAAAAGGTGCCGCATGTAAACTACCAGGATCAATCACCACAAAGTCAGCCTTTTTACCCACCTCGAGACTCCCAATCTCCTTTTCTAAACCCAGCGCGATCGTTCCGTTGATAGTAGCCATCTCCAAGGATTCTTCAGCGCCAATCAGTGATGCATCAAGATTTACACCTTTGTGCAATATACCTGCCAGATGCATTTCCCGAAACATATCATAAGTATTTCCACATGGAGCTCCATCGGTTCCAAGACTGACGTTCACTTTGGCCTCCAACATCTCTGGAATCTTAGCGATACCAGATGAAAGTTTGAGATTGCTGTTAGGATTGTGAGCTACCGAGGTCTTTGTCTTGCCAAGAATTGGCAAATCGACTGGGAGGTCTAAATGCACCATATAAGCGAGTACCGTCCGAGGCCCTGTGAGTTTCGCAGCTTCACAAAATTCCATTGGCGTGCAGTTGTAGCATTCTTTATATATCGTCAGATCTTTTGGGGCTTCGGCGCAGTGCATGGTAAGCCCAATATCATGCTCACGACAAGCTTCGCCTATTGGGAGATGAGAGGATAATGGTGACCCTCGGGGAGTGCCAGCAGCAGCCCATACTTTCAGTCTGCCATCGCAGGAGTTGTTGTACTTGGAATGCATCGCAAGCATATATGAGATGGACATGGAGTCCACATCTTTGTCTCTTGGATCGGTGATGTTAAGTTTCTTATTGCTTTCTTCAAACTTCACCAATTTGCCCTTTTCATGAGGTTAGCTTACAGATCGAAAACGCAGTTGATGGGTAGCCAAACAAGACATCCTCTTATTCCGCTTTCTTCCACCGCTCGTACAACATTTTCGAATCCCGATCGATGCGTCAACATGCTCTCGAAAAAGCAAGTCGTCCCGCTTTTCAGCATCTCAGCAATTGTCAATCTGGCAGCCACATATCCGTCATCTGCCTCATAACATGCTTCTAGTGGCCAAATGGCATCACAGAGCCATGAATGGAGCGATAGGTCTTCTGCAAGCCCACGAAGAAGGGACTGTGCAAGATGAGAATGTGTATTGATGAGTCCCGGAACAACGATCTGGCCATTTAAATCGATAATTTCTGCGCTTGGATCTAGGCCTTTCTTGGAGAGTGTCGAGGATTTTCCGATGGCTGTTATGTAACTGCCTGTAACGTGAATTTCGCCATCAAGAATTATGTCCCGAGTGGTTTTTATGGTGATTATTGTTGCATTTGTGTAGATAGTCGATGGTAGCTCGGACATGTTGGTAGTTTGGTATCCCGACTTGACTTTGAATGGAACAGGATGCTCAAAGCTGCACTAATCTGGTACTGTATCCGTAAAGAGGTATAAACCCACCCCGAATATCAAGTACATTACATAAGTTTGTCCAACAACAGCCGCCCGCTTGTATCTCCCAAACCCCATGTCTATCAACAAACGGAAAACCAACTTCGGGTATTGTTGGTCGGGCATTCCCGATCAGAAAACCTCAATCCTTGGGCGCTGATTGGTCGATCATCTATTGAATGTTATCACACCTCCCACTCTTCTCTCGCTGTGCACTAATCTGACCGCTCACCAACCATTATCGCGAGCATCAAAACCAAATCCGCAAGAGAAATTCAGATATTTAATAAAAGAAGAGACCACAGTTCTACCAGGTCAGTATTGAAACAATTGGACTTCGACATCACTCTTTTTCTGGCCACTTTAGCTGACTATGGGTCCCTCCAGCGGCGAGAAAGTAGACGGCGACCAAGATGTTGTTTATACTCGCTCAATTGATGAGGGTGTCGGGTATCAAGTGGGTCGATGGCAGCACCTAAAGCATTATTTTACTAGTAGGCAAGGGTGGATTGGCGATTATGTGAGTGACTTCTCTCGTAAGTGAACCAGTTATTGTTCTTCGGCACACCTCTCTCTGTGTTTACAAAATAGCTACATTTTTAGAAAAGATGGAAACTTGAGTCTCTCTTATCTCTTCGACACCTCGAATAATCATCTGATTACTTCGGATCATTCTGTACAATTCATTGTAGAGTGGTTCAGGCGGCCGGGAGAGATGACCGAACTCCTGCTAAAACACGTAAATAATAAATATATACTGATTTGATACAGGATTACCTTTATCTAATCACGCCAAATATATGGCCACTAAATAAGAAATACAGAAACTACGAAGCTCCTTTCTATGGCCTCAATGATGAAGTCCCAATTCTACTCACAATACTTCTCGGTCTACAACATGCACTCACCATGATTGGGTCCATTGTTTCTCCTCCACTCGCAATAGCTGGTGGAGCATTCAATTTTGATGCCCAGATTACACAATATCTTGTTTCTGCGGCTTTTATCACCACCGGAGTCGCTACTGCTTTACAAGTTACGCGCGTTCACATTGCCATAACACCATTCTATATTGGTACCGGATTGCTTTCTGTTGTGGGTCCAGCATTCGACATATTACCAATTGCATTCAATTACACCTCGATGCGCTACGCCAATGGAACCTGTCCAAAGGCAGACGATGGAACGTAATTACCATGCCCTGATGCGTGGGGAGCTATTTTGGGAAGCATGTTGTGTACTGTTTGGATACAGATTGCAATGAGTATGGTTCCACCCAAAACACCCAATAAAATCTTTCCAAAGATCATTACTGGGAGTCTGCTGTTGCTGGTGGGTGTTTATTTGATCAACAGCGGCATGCAGAACTGGGGTGGGAGTTCAAATTGCAATGGTGGAGAAGGCTTTTATGCTTTGTGCCCAAATGTTTCAGTACCTAGGCCTTTGGTTTGGTGAGTATTCACGCTTCTTCAATAGGATCGTGCTAATATTTCCAAAGGGGAGACCCAAAGCTTATTGGACTTGGCTTCAGTGTCTTTGTCTCGGGAATTATGATAGAACAATTCGGATCTCCATTAATGAAATCCGCATCAATTGTTCTTGGGCTAGCAGTAGGCTGTGCGATTTCAGGAGCAACTGGGTACTGGTCCCGAGAGAATATTGATGCTGCGCCGGCTATAACATTCCTTTGGGTTCATACCTTCAAGCTTTCAGTTGATGGAGCACTCATACTACCCCTACTCATAATGTTTATATGCGAGGCTGTTAGTTGTATGCCCGATATTCTCGCCACAGCCGAAATTTCCAATGTGGATATTGGAGGGACACAGTTCAACTCTCGCATTCAAGGTGGTATTTTATGCGACGGACTTGGTTCCCTTCTCTCTGCTTTTGGCACAGGTCTCCCAATGGTCTCACAAGCTGGAAACAACGGTGTCATCGTATTGACAGGTTGCGCGAGTCGAAGAGCCGGTTGGTGTGCCTCCGCATTTCTTATTCTCATGGGAATATTTGGAAAGTTTGGGGCTGTGTTTGGATCTATGCCTCCATCTGTACTAGGTGGCATGCAAGTGTTCTTATATAGCACTATTGCTGTTGCTGGTATCCGAGTTCTTGGTCTCATTACTTGGACCAGACGCAATCGGTTCATCCTTACGGCTAGTTTGGGAATCGGATTCATGGATATTGTGCAACCGACTTGGTTTAACAGAATTCTGAACTACGCTGGACCAAACGCCAGACTGCAGGGATTTGAGCAGGGGCTGAAACTTATTGTTGAGACTCCATTTATTGTAGCCGCTGTAGTTGGAGTATTCCTGAATTTAGTGCTTCCTATGGATAGAAGTGAGATGGGCCGAATTGCGAGGGAAGATGGAAGTGGAGGTGGAGTTGTTTTGGAGGGCAGATAAAGGGATAAGACTGGAATCTATGAAGAGAGGTGACGGTCATGGTGATTTTCTCCCTTCATTAAACACCTCTACTTCTATTCTAACTGCCTTGATTAGTCTGAATTACAACCACGAAAGTATAGAAGCGCAATAAATACCGGTATTTACAGATCAGATGCTTCTCCGATTAACAGCGAAGTCACATGATCATTCCAAAGTTGTTATATCATCTCAAGTATTTTGGCGAATGAGAAATACTGTGAATGAGTTGGATTCCAGCAACTTCTTCGCATCTATCGGTCGTGTAAGTGTGAAGAGAAAAAAATGGCCAAGGTGTTCAGCTGGGAATAAGAAATCACCATGTCACGGCCGTACTTTCCCGAAAGGACCTCGGGAATTGAGTTTGACCCCTCTTTGTACACTTGTACACACACCATCTACACAGCCATCATAGAACTTCCCAATCAAGTTCCACAGAGCTGGATATCAATTCTCACTTCAGGTAGGTGGTTCTTTTCCTTCGATAGGCGTTCTCGAACGGGGTTCCTTTGAGCTTGCATATGATGCTAACCGGGCTCTCGTATAGATCAAAACTCCAAGGGCGTTTGCCACTAGAAAAAGTAAACATCATCGACGGCTGTCTTTTACAAGATTATTATGGTGAATCTCGCATCAAAGTTCGCCATCATTGGCGTTGTTTTTGTTGGAATTCTGTATCAATTTCTGTTCAAAACGTTAATCTTCGATGTTCTTGGCTATGGTCGAAAGATCAACTCGCTCAAGGACTACAGCAATGTTCGTTGCGAGAAGATAGATGACCTAGGTCTGGAGGCATGTGAAGATATGTGGTTACACCAAAAGACTGGATTTCTCTACATGGCTTGTTCTAGTAGCCAGTCACGCCAGGAATGGCTTCCAGCGTCTGTTCACCTGACCGTATTACCTCGACAACAACTGACAGTTTTAGCATCGATCACCTCAACAACACAGGTCGACTTCTAAAAGACAGAGTTGCTGTACTCGATACCCGCGGCTCTGGTAGTGTAGCTTCGCGGCTCAAATGGCTTTCCTTGGAGCAGTTCTCGGGCAGCAGTGGCGACCTCGCTTTGAACCTACACGGTCTTGATATCTTGGAAGATAAACATACTGATACCTTGAGAATACTTCTTGTCAACCATCGCCCGCCCATTGACCCAAGAACTGGAAACCACCTCGATGCCACTTTAGTCGGAGCGAACTCGACCATTGAGCAGTTTCAAACTAAGGCTGGTAGCTCGACGATGCGTCATGCGAGAACTTACTTCAATGAAGCAATTCAGACACCCAATCGAGTTTCTTGGGTCAATGACCATTCTTTTGTTTTCACAAATGATCATTCTGCTAAAGTTGGCCTGGTATGTCATCAGACGCAATACTAACACATCAAACTAACTTTTGCTAGCGGCGCCGACTTGATTTGGTCATTGGTGGCGGAAACGTTGCATTTTGCAGCCGGAACTCTTGTAATATCGCCTACTCATCAGGGTTCAATTTCCCAAATGGACTCGTTCGAGGTCGGGATGGTTTGATATATGTTCCAAGCACCGTGGGCATGAAAATTGACGTGTTTTCTCTTTCTGAAGACCACAAGCTACACTTGGTTCATACCATAAAATCCCCTCTGGGCCTCGACAATCTCTCAGTAGATGGCGATGGAAACATCTTCGCAGCGGGATTTCCTGCACTCCATAACTGGAATAAAGCAACCAAAGATCCATTCAACATTAACCCTGAAAGCACTGTTCTCAAGATCAGAAGAGATGGAAAGGGATATCAAGGTGCAAGCAGGAAAGCGCACGTGGAAAAGTGGAATGATGGTAATTACGTCGTGGAAAAAGTATTCGAGGATAACAATGGTGTCCTCCCTGGTGCAACAATCGCCATTCATGATTCTGAGACGGGAAGATTCTTTCTTGGGGGTGCTTTTTCGCCTTTTATTACTATTTGCGAAACAAGATGAGAAGGACTGTACACGAGAGCATCCAGATTTCAAGATTTGATCGATATCGATGGAGTATTCCGTGCATGCGCAACGCGAGATGAGCGAGACGAGGAGGAGTTTTTCTTACTTTTGGCTTACTGCTGATGTGCGAGCTGCGACTTTCTATATTTGATGGATTCAATTTCTTCCAGCTCAACTCCTGCAAATTTCTGACCCACTTTCATCCGCCAACCAAATTTGTGCTGTCGCTCGTATCGCAGGGATAATTCGATCCAATCGACTGACATAATCCGTAAGATGAAGATGATGAAACACGGTTGGGATATTCCGATCTAGCCAATAAGGGGGCTAGCTTATGGGCTCGCTAACCGCGTGTGGCCGTGCTCACCACCAAAATACGCGGATTGTTTATTTGCGTCAACGGCTCCTGCAATGGGCTGAGTCTATCCACAATTTAGTTGCGCCTTTCACGTAAGTGAAAACACCAGTGCCCCGTTGAGATTAGCACTACTGGTTTTTGCTTGCGGTCTAGTCAAAGCACTTTGCAACGATCTTTGACATACGACGAAGATAAACAAAAACAGAGCAGAGAGTCATACCAAATATCCCTTTAGTGTCATCATGAGTTGCCATTGATCCCGATCAGATGCCTTCATATGAGGATGCAATTCTCCCATCTCAAAATTTATTTTGAGATACCACTGAAGCCATGTTCCCAGATGGCAGTATAAGATCGTTACGTAAAGTGAGCTTAGATCTTCAAGTGGGGCGTAGGCTTACATCTTTGTACCGCCATCTTTTGATTTAAAAATGACTTGCTCCATTCCTAGGCGCGGTAATTAGTAAAGAAAGAACCATTGTGATTGGGCGCAATGAGGTACTATGAAAGCCGTCAAGTATGTCTTGCCGGTAACCCTACACTAGGTATTGAGGCGGTACAATATTGCTGTGGCTCGTTATTCCTCCATCGTATATCAAAACATATACCAGTCAGTGTGGATCCTGACAACATGCGGCACGTTTTACAGATAAAGGCAGCCCTTCTCCTTAACTTTAGCGTGGGACTTGGACCTTCCCAAACTTTTGTCAACAAATCTCTGTCAACAAATTTCGTGAACGACAGCTACTCGCACAATGGTGGTTCCTCCTCCGAAGGCATGCATTTCTGGTGCTCTGCCATGGGGTATGCAAAATGTCTCTTCGTGGAAAGCAGTGGGTTGTTTGAAGGGGTTTTATTGTAAGCAACAATCTGTATGAAAATGAGTATGTCTAACAACGCCCAGGTCCCAATAATAACGAGACTATGTTACCGGCATATTGTCAACCTGAGCCAGCTTGTTTGATAGCTCGATTACATGGCGGATCCTGCGTAGCTCAAGGTGTTCTCGAACCGGTTCTATGTGAGTCAGGGTTTTACTGCCCGGAGAATGGTCGAAAAAAGATTCCATGCCCTGAGGGAAGTTATTGTCGAAAAGGATCCGTCGAACCGATAAAATGCAGTGGTAAATATCTTCGCGCCTTTTGTTAGCAAAGTTCACTAATATGTTCATCAGCCGTCTCAAATTGTCCGAAGGGATCAGAACGTGATATGTCATTGATACCGTTAGGAATTGTCATTGTGATCGACGCGCTGTTGATAACCATGGTCATCGTGCTTAAAGTTCGTGGGTTCTTCGTCATCAGAAGAATAAATAGAAAAGATCATCGAGTACACCATCCACTCAAGAGGTCTCCAACATTTTACAAGACTATCGGCGGATCTATTAGTGGAAAGTTTCATGGAAAGAATGAAGGAAAGCAATACGAAGAATTGGACGATGAGGTTGACACCGATGTCATATACGGTTCAGTAGGCCCAGATGCTATGCCCCTGTCCCCTTCACTTGATGGATACGATCGGCAATTGAGAAGACACCCAATTGGATTTGAGGCTATGGCTTTGAAGGAGGATATGTTTTCAGTCGCTGCACCTATGGATGACGACAATAATGCCGCGGATAGAACTGATTTGCAGCGTTTTGTTCAATCTTTGTCAAAGATCATGGGTGCTTCGACTTTTGGATTGAGTTTCGAGTTTCAGGATTTGCGATTCCATCCGAAGAAAAGTCCACGGCCTATTCTTCAGGACGTGTCGGGTTTTATTCATGCTGGGTCTCTTTGGGGTGTGATGGGTGCTTCTGGGGCGGGAAAATGTAAGTTTTGCATCTGAATTGCAACACTTTTGTCAACTAACATGGGTAGCGACGTTTGTGAATGTGCTCATGGGAAAACAATCTGGTATCACTGGGATCACCAAAGTAAATGGTATTGCTGGTGATATCAAGAAGTAAGTGACTTTGATCAATGCACAAAACTTCATATGTTAACTGTGTCACAGGTACAAGAAGATCATCGGATACGTTCCCCAAGATGATATTGTTCTTCCAGAGTTGACTGTTCGCGAAAACATTCTACACTCGGCGAGAGTTCGACTCCCTGTAAGCTGGAAAGATGACGAGATTCAACATCACGTCGATGTTTTATTGAATTGTCTACAACTCGATCATGTCAAAAACTCGCTTGTGGGAAGCCCGGGAGCACCAGTTATTTCGGGAGGCCAAAGGAAACGAGTATCTATCGGAATGGAACTCGCAGCAGCACCTATGGCCCTCTTTCTGGACGAACCGACCTCTGGACTTGACGCAACAGCTGCAGCATCCATCATGGCCACTTTGAAAGCTCTCTCCAGACTTGGAATGACTGTGATAACTGTCATTCATCAACCTCGACCAGAAATCTTCGAATCTCTTGACAGTCTCGTACTTTTGGGAGCTGGAAGAATGATTTACCAAGGGCCAGAAGAAGGTGTTCAATCTTATTTTCAAAACCTAGGTTATAACTTCCCAGCCCATAGCAATACAGCAGACGTTATGGGTGATATTATTGCGGGAGAAGGGAGACTCTATAAACCCATTGGAGATGCTACCGTGAAAGGACTCATCGATTATTGGGCTATGGCACATCCATCTGCCGCATCTATAAACCCGGATCGACGCCCTCCCATTTCAATTGCTGAGACCGCCGTTTTGAGCAATACTATCAAAGAACGGGGTGCTCAGTGGTATCGACAGCTCTACTTCTGCTTTAACCGATCCCTCTTGCAACAATATCGCATGAAATCTTCCTTCTTTTTTGAACTTGGGGTAGGCGCCATGTCAGGATTTCTAATTGGTCTTGCACAACTCAACTCCAAAGGAGATAATTTTACAGGGATATTCATCGAACCTTACCAGCTCATATCTTCAGCAACAATCTACTCGAAAATCCCACAGATGTCCCTCCTCGTTGGTCTCGCCATCGGCCTCACAGCTTCGGCACCAGGAGTAAAGATCTTCGGCGAGGAGAAATTAGTTTTCTGGCGAGAAGCGGCTGCGGGGCATAACAGATTCTCGTATTATATGGGCAAGGTATTTAGTACCATCCCAAGAATGGTGCTAGCGAATTTGCATTTCACAACATTGTTCATGCTCCTCTCAACACCCCAAATATCTTACATGCACTCCTTCGCCGCCAACCTCCTCTATTTCTACTGCATCTACGGGCTCGCATCCTGCGTCTCCATGGTCACTCGTCGCGAAGATGGTCCACTTCTAGCAGTAATGCTCTCCCTCATCGTAGGGGTTCTTAATGGGATGTCTCCAACACTGGATAAAGTCCGGACGTGGCATATGGAATGGTTATGGAGATCCAGCCCTGGAACTTGGCTGGCAGAAGCGTATTTCACGGAGAATCTGATGCCGTTGAAATATTTGTATGATATTGAAGTTGCGAGGAAGTCGATGGGGTATTGGTTGGATGGATACGCGAGGGATTGTGGGATGCTTTTGTTTCTTGGGACGGCGTATAGGGTGATTGCTTTTGTGGGTTTGAGGTTTATGTATCCTACTAAACAGAGGTAGGAGTTTTATGAAGTAATGATTGTAATTGTAGATAAATATCGAAATGTTCTCTGTATCAAAGTATAGGTATTCCTAATTGGATGGGATTGAATCGACAGAAGTCGAATGTTATCGTGTTATGGTGAGGATCTCGTTAACTGCCTCCTGGTGGACAAGAAAAGTGGCAGAGATTCATTTTTTTAACTGCGAGTATTAGCGTAAATTAATTCTAGGTAATAAAATGTCTCAAATAACTAGAACAATTGCTTTTATTGTGCTATCGTTTTAAATAAATCATTCTAATTATTCCAAATAAATAATATAATATAATGGGTTCTAGGTAAGTTAGGTTAAGATAAAAGAGGTCTCTGCCACTTTTCTTGTCGGCTGGGAGACTGCTCCTCACACATACTTACCTGCGACATGCCATAGGATAATGCGAAATAAATATATACAATCCGCGGATTTAATAACAAGGGGTAGCTTGGAACCAGGTGCCTAAGTATTAGCATATTGAACGAGTCGCACAATACCGAGAAGCGGTCCCTAAGCCTTGATTACATGGCTTAAACGACATTTCATGGGATGGAGCTGAACCAAGGTAAATTTGTGAATTCAACTTTGCGTCTCGGGAGTTCTATTCCATGATAATTGGGGTCCTTCCGCCCCCGGAAGAACCCTCAGTCATTCATTTCTCGAGATATAACTGAGGATTCTTGTTGAAGTCTAGCAATATATCCACTGCCAATTCTTCAATATTCCCATGCGCCATCTTCAATCATGAGCTTATATAATATACCTCCCTCACTTGACAAGTCATTCTCCGCACCACAGCTACAAGTCGAGTCTCAAGCACCAATCAACTCAACATCCTACAACGAAATGGTCTCCTGCATCTACCCAGTCAGCGGCCAATACAGACTCCTCCCACGACTCTTATGCTACACCTCCCTCTTCTTCGCCGTCGTAGCAAGACGACAACTGTGGCTAGTCACAGGAGCCCTTTGCTCCGCAATGATTCTCGGTTCCACAGCAGTAATTCACGTTTTCGTTATCCTATTCGCTTCGGGAACTGATCCCGCAGTTTTCGACAGCGATATGGTACCTCTCAGTCTTTTGCTACTTGTTGGAGCGATGTTTCCTGGTCCAGTAGTGGATTTTTCAAAAACTGTTAGAAAATCGGGCGCAAGACCGATTATTTTCATGTGGGGTCTTTGGATGATGGTAGGGACTATTACTTGTATGTCGGGACTGGTAAATCTGGTGCTTGGGAAATCATTCACTCCCACGGCGGAAAACCAACAAGAACTACCATTTGCGCCAATCATAGCTGATTCCCCAGACATGTATTTCCGACACAAGAGCTCGCAAATTATTTGCGTGGCTATGGATGAGCTTAATACCACCACGATTCTACAATCTCCAATACAATTACACAACCCAAGTCTCCATTTCAATTGCACATACTCCTGCTTTAGCGCGAAAACATCCGCCATCCGAGGGGCTGGTGAAATCCAAACGATTCCTTTTACCACGCTTCACGGTCGATATTTCTCAACGCTGTGGTGTATAGGTTTTACGGCTCTAGCATTGGGTTTGATGCAAACACTAGTACAATATATCGTCTTGGATCATACCTAAATTGCCCACCAACATGCTACATAGGATTTTTCAAATCCTCACGCCTCGAAGTGAAGGTACAACATTTAGTGGGCTAATTAGTGGCTGGTTCGCCACCTTGATCAGGGTCCTAAATCTGATCTTGGCGGTCCCGATTATCATCATGGGAGAAATTTATATTCTGGGCGTAGGAGGGGAACACAGATTTCCGATATCTGAAGAGAGTTGAGCGATAGGACAGTGGGCTGCGCCGGTAGGTGCTTGTTATTTGGTCCTTGCTACTCTTCTCGATCGACTTTTCGAAAAGAGATCTGCGGGAAGAGACATGGAAGCCGGTGGGTCGGAAACGACAAACGGAGGGCAGGAGGCTACACAAGTACCAGGCAGCCCAAGATCTTCCTATGGAGCTTGAACTTTACGCTTTGTTACTACTTTTTATGTATCAGATCAAAACACCCTTCAACAATCAGGCCGACCGAACAACCGAAGCGGCAAGACCCCTTCAACGTGCCCTCAACAATGTGGTTCATCAATCCAGCCCCTTCGTATCTTTCTGATATTGACACTTCCTTTGAACTCGGCGCACTCTTAGTGGCCTATATCCGGAGATTTTGACTGCTGACGCTCGTCATCTATTTCGGCAAAGGATTCAGTGTGGCGTTGAAGTCTCTGAGGGAAGACTGGAAATATGATTTGCAAATGGAAAGATGATTCTTGATTCAACAGGCTAACCTTACACCTTGGATATCGAGTCTGAAACTTTAGTCTTGGACTCTTATCTCACGTTCTTACTGAATTGAATGGCAAGATGTGTTGGCGAGTAAGGTTGGATTGTATGAACTCGAAGAGGGCGTCTGCAGCGGTTTCAGGCATGTAATCGAATATACGGAGGAGCAGTCCAAGCTCTTGAAGATTTTTCGACAAAATAACAACACCGAAAAGAAATCAATAAAGCTTTCAAATACACTTTACTGTGAACCAATCAGCGCAGATCAAGCCCCCCATGTCATCTTTCATGCTACTTGTCAACAATCATATCACTGAATAAGCCTGGCTAAATGTCGGCATACTTTCAATTAACAGAGACCTTAACCATCGCAAACAAACGCGAATACCCCTCTACTTAACTAGACCGTATCTATATGAACGGTCATGTCTAATCATTGATGAAAACCAATCTAAAAGAACCTGACGTAAATCACCACTAACACTTTCCAAGGGGTTCCAGATACCTACAGTGTATCTAGATCTTGGATTCTCCGCCCTCGCTTAATACACTTCAGGCTACCGCTACGTTATCAAGCAGGTCAGAATCCTTACCACCCCTTATCTCCTTGTCTTCCGCATTCCAAGTAGTGAACAGGATACTGACGCCGCGACATTTAAGATAAGTGAAGTAGGACGGATCATCGGTTGAGTGAAATTGAGTTCCCAATACTCCTTCATTAGTGGCATTCCCAGGGAATGGGATCCTTTACGGATCCTTCTCCCAATAGCACATTTGAGTCTAATTTGAGTAAGTACTGAAGATATGGGAATTTATGGTTATTGATCATACGTGGTAATGGACGCTACTTGCTTCAATCGCATATACATACCTAATTAAGCTCTAGCTAATTGATACCCCTCTAGGAAAACAAAATATTACTTGGCGTCCCAAAAAGTACGCCACAGACTAAAGCAAATCAATGTAGCAGCAGGTTTCAATCTATATCAAAAGGAATGTATTCTAGATCCTATTAGTTAGTACAAAGTAATAGACATATAGACATATAGACAGGCCAAGACTCGTGACTTTGATCTCATGCGTTATAAAAATATTAATTGTGGATCTAATATATAGGTACATCATCCACGTACTACAAGTACGAATTCTTCACAAACAGACGAGTGAACACTAAGTTAAAAGTAGAGAAGGTCAACTGAACGATTTATCTTGCAGACTCTCAACATCCACGGATCGTGAAAATTAAAGACTTCTAACTCTACCAGTAATAAGTCTCCAACTCGAGAACCCCATTTTCTAGACTAAGTCTAGAACAGACTCAAGACAATAAGATAGTTACGTAATTTCATAAAGTGTTCCTCAAACGTTTTATTCGGAGATGCTTTACCTTGCTTTCTTGTCGTAGGTAGGTACGATTTCACAGCGAAGCCAGTAAGGCAAAGCTATTCAAGGGTGTTATATAACACCAGTATAGATCTTGAAAGTGTTAATAATGTGAGAAGAACAGCCAATACTTCGATCATAACCAACCCAGCTAGCTTGTTGTACTCGCTTGAATAATACATCTCTATTCTGTTTAAGCTAGGTAGACATGTGGGTCAGATACGTAGCACTTTCTTGAACAACAATCGCGAGTACCTAACCTAAGTTTTCATTCTACAACATGATCAAACGACGAAAGCTACCACAATCACAATCTATTCTCCCAGAAAGCCACATACCAAATCACGAGCCAAATCACATCTCACGTCCAAATGAAAAAGGTTCCAACGAAAGTTCCCCCATCCAACCCACAAGCGCTCACAACGGCGGTCCAACAAATCCCCGCCAAGCCCCCCCTCACTGCCCCTCCTCCCAACAGGGGTATCCCAAGAACAACCCCAACCAACCCACCATTCAAACACAACGGTGAGAGTCCACTTTACCTCCACTCACCAAGCACGTCAAGTCAACTACCTCAACTCTCCTCACACCTCCTCCTTCTTCAAACCTTCAAACCAAACACCAACACCACCACCAACAACAACACCAAACCCCCTCCCAAACAAAAAGCAAGATTAGAAAGAAGATACAATGGCCGCAACAAACGCCTACCCACCCGGAGGAACCTTCCTCGACACGCTCAAGAAATCGTACGTCGATGTTCCCATCAATGCCGAGAAGGACAACGCAATCGGCACGAGTGAATTCCTGGAGGCTTCGGAGTCGTTGACTACGCTTTTTGGTATGTTTCCTTCTTATCCATCCCTCTCGAGTCCTGTGCTCTATATCCCTCTCTCTTCCTGCTATCGAACATACAAGAAAAGGAACTAATGAACAAACCCCCAGACGTCCTCGGAAGCGTGGCATTCAACCCCGTCAAGAACGACATCCTCGGAAACGTCAAGGTACATACACACACCACACCACCCATTCACCCATCCACCCCTCCCCTCACACCCTCAATTCCAATTCCAATCCCAGAAACAAGGGCTGCCCACACCAGGAAAGGGGGACAACCAAGGAAGAAGATACGGAAGAAGAATAGCACCATACTAACTCCAATATGTGCCCACAGAAAATCCGCGACCGCCAACTCGCAGCACCAGCTGAATCAGCAACCCTCCAAGACCTAGTCCTCGCGGAGCTGGCAACGAAGAAACATGTTGCTACGGAGGGGTTGGTATGGCTCGTCCGGTACGCTTCCCCATCTCCTACATCATACAAGACATACACCCCCTCCTCCCAAATCCC